AACCTCGAAGTCGTTTTTTACCGTTCTGTCTTGTCCGTGTCGAATTCGAATGCCGCTCGTTTTGGAAGTTGATCAAGAGTAGGATCTAGGCGGGGGCTTTCGTCTGTTGTTACGGGACGTGTTTGAATGGATCTCGTCAAGTTGTCAAAATGTCACTTCATATTTTTCTTCCGTGTAGTCGACCGAGTGGTCCCGATACATCGCGGTCCCGATTAACAACGTGGTTCCCGACATCGCAGTAAATAAGTCCTTTGCACAACTCCTAACTTGCTTTTAGGGATGAAGCCCCCTAGCGCAGGTCCCGTTATTCCGCGGTTACTGACGTTCACCACGAGTGTGATACACCACGTTTTCCCGACGCCAGCTGGCGATTGTGTGTGAGGGAAATGAAATACTCCTCGGGTTCAGACACGATGACCCCACCTCACGGAATACGTACGGAATACTGTCGTTTCAAGCCGCATCTTCATGTCTTGGTAAGGGACGAGGGCTCCAGAAGGTGCCCGGTTCGCTTTCTCGCCCTCACAAGGAGTTGAAAACGTCCGTGATAAATCTTTGATCCCGGACGTACATTCTCGACGTGTCGAACGAGAACAAGAGTGATCGCACACATCTTTCAGAACGAATTTCACATCTCGATTGCTCCACCACCGAGAGGGCGCAAACATCGGCCGAATCTTACAAAGAAGACCGTTCCATCTCCACCCACCTTTCGGCATTAGCATCCCCATCGGTTCTGAAGCAATCCATCCGTGAAAGGCAAACGCGGACTAAACATGGAGTTGTGGAAAAAAGTCGAGTACATACACATCAATGAAAAAAGGCAAGATGGTCACGGCATGCAATTGCTCAAGCTTAGTTCGCCAGCAAACCTACCATCGCGTCGAATGAGAACGAGACAAGCTTCATTCGCGTTGAAATACGACACACTACAAATAGTGATAACCACAACACCGCAACACCGGTAACAACAGAATGAATCTCCACATTGGATGAAGCAGTTGGTTGGCACGAGAGCTGCTTGAGGCTAGCAAGCATCTGTTGAGTCATCCTTTTGAACAACACTTTGCGTGTGGCTCGAGAAATGGAATGTTTGAATGCTGTATTTCTTACGGCATTGTTCGCTCTGACTCGCGTATGTTTTTCCGTTGGCTCAGAAAGTTCCTCTTGCTTTGGATGCTTTTGTGTGTTCGTCCTTTTTATTTTGGCATTAGCCCCCCAATTTTCGTGTAGATTATATTGTGTAGAGTGCAACACTTTCTCAGCGATTTCCGTACAACTATGCACAATCATCCAGGGTCACACAAGAGGGGGTTAAACACCAGAACTTTTTCTTCTCTTTGTCATTGTCGTGCCCGTCTTCCTCCTGGTGCGTGCTGCATTTTGTTCGAGAAGGATTCAGCCGTCTCTTTCCATCGTCGACAGTTTCGCTTTCACCCGCAAATTTGTAAATGTTTCACCGCGTGGGGATTCGAATCCTCGATCTTCGCGACTAACGGTTTTGGAGGATACCGCTAGACCACCGGGGTGACCGGCAGGATGGCGGACTTTTCCTTGAGCTAGATTCTGCCGCGGAAGGGAGAGTATTTCACTGCTGTTCACCGTCCGAAACCCAAAGAGACCCTACGAGCGAAACGAGCAAATACGCTCTATGACTTTACACCACTCAGTGCTTATGAGTGAAGCCAACCAACGCGCACGGTGCTCGAACGGCCGATACACCAGTAGGTGGTGTCTGCTGGCCAAGAGTGCCGCGGCTCTCTGTGTCCAAGCACCGCTAGTACCCGCTTCCCCAGTGAGTGCATACAAGCCGATCAAACCAACGCACACGTCCAGCCTTTGTTCATTTCCTTGGCAGGCGCGTGATCACCACGAGGTTCGTCGGCGATGTCCAGGAGGAAGCACGTTTCATTCGAGACCCAGGCTGGACATTTTGAAGCGTTTTTGCCTGAGACCCTGAGGTCCTGAGACGCTGGATATTCCCGGCCAGACTATGGCTGACGAAAGGACTCGCCTGAGACCCTGGAACATTCTGCACGATGTGGGTGGCGAGTGATATGAAGGGAAACAAGGATAGGACGGATAGTAGCGCCGACAAGGGGAGTCACCCTCCTCGGAAATGAAAGTGCCGAAGCTCACCAACCCCACGATTGACCTATATTGAAGCCGAAATCAAACCATTATACTACAATAGTCAGCGCTGAATATAATCTAATGGTTTGATTTCAGCTTCAATAAGTGGCGACAAGCGGGGGGGGGGTAAACGATTTTGGAAAGCAGGCACTGGTGCCAGGCACAGAACCAATGTGACGAGAAATGGCAGGACTCCACTTGCTCAACTAGACTATTCCCAGGTAAACTTGAGACGAAATCTTTCAGATCCAGGATTGGATGCTGTGATTGCACCGGAAGTCGCTTTTTGTGCTTGTTAGGCCTTGTAGACATGATGCACATGTTCTTGGCCTGATGGATTCTCCCCGGAGTGATCAAGCCTCGACATCACAGTGGAACGCGTTCATGTAGTCACTACTGTAGTAAAACAAAAAAATGGAGATTCATGAAATAAAATTCGGAAAGAAATGAACGATCTCTTGCGGTTGGACTGGGGATGTTTGCCTTCGGGGTCGTAGACGAAGCGACGATTCAAGTGTGAATGCGGCTCTGATTACAAAGACGAGGGTCATGTAGAGAGAACTGAGCTGGGCAAGTAGGAGGGCGTAACAGAGAGACGTTTGAGGCATGGAAATTCCTGGGGATTTCGGTGGCAATGCTGGGGACGGAAATGGAGCGGCCATACCTTCATATTTCCTTGCGTGAGATTCCCCGGCTGGAATATGGAGCATTCAGGAAACGTGTAGCCTAGCTGGCGCTCACAATGGGACGTTTTTCTGACCAGTCTCGAACGCTCAGGAGTGCCAAGCGTTCACCCATCGGTGTAACGTCATCGCTTATGCTCATTCCATACTAAGTATTTCAAGCTGCTTTGATGTGAAGGCAACTGCTGAAGATGTTGTCAGATATTGGCGACAACACGATGCAGTAGATCACGAGGGACAAATGCAACTTGCCTCTTGTGGAACAACGCATGCCACCACCCATCCTTCTCGCTCGAATGCGGTTGAAACAAGATCTTCCGATGGGGTAACAAGGAACTGTGGGAGAGCATGAAGTGGAGGGAGATCAGGACGCTGGACGTGAAAATTCGAGAGAGAATGAAACACGCGAAATTGAACTGACCGGTCACACAAGCGCACATGTTCTGCAGATGTTCCCCGAAGTCAGTAGGGTTGAATACAGCTCTTCCTCAGGAAGTTGTCCAGGTGGGATTGTATTCAACTCCCGCCCGCTTCTCGGATGCAGCCAACAGCGGTCTTGGCTACACGTACGATAACAAGAATAACAACGCTGGAACATGCAAAAATCGTTCGCCGAGGAACACGTGGCACCTTCCGTTTGCAAGCTCTTTCCCCAGACACATATGAGCTCTCGTCGTCTTCGAGTCAGGGAAGGTATTAAGCTGTTCTCTTTGTAGAACGTCATGTTCTCTGGACTTCATCGTGTACGTTCACTGAAACCCCTGGAGAGTGGATGGAGCGATTTTCTCGTGGTTGCCAACCTACGTCTCTAGGCAGAGCGTTCACTATACCCTTGGGGTTGACTGGCGCTTCGCGGCTTTGTAGACCGACCGCTCGACTGAATAATATCTGCGGGAGGAAGGGATGCAGGCCCAGTCTCCAATGATGCAGCGCCTTGTCGACCTTGACCCACGATAAAACAAATTCGGACCCGGTGTGCACTCTCATTGCAAAATGAAACTTCAGTTCATCATCCGCATGACGTCGCGAGGAAAAAAACGACGGCATCGACAAGCCTAACCCCAAAAGGCAAGCAGATGGTCATGCCCATGTTCTTCGAAGCCTTTAACGGTACCAAACGCAAATCGCTCACTCTCGAAGAACAGAGGCACTATACAGTGCTTCATCCTTCAACGCTAGCCAACTCAACATCCGGTGGCAGGCTTCAATACCATCTGCACAGCAAGAGGCATCCGGACATCGTCACGCCGGCGGAGTCACGTATTATCCAATGGGAACTTGAGTACAATGCTAAGCGAACACCACAAATGGTGCACACGACCAAACCAACGCGATTATCGCCTACTCGACAATATCAATGTGCACCCAACTCCGCCGCGACGCTACGCCGCAATTCTCTACCAGACAAAAAACTTCTAGGTCGTCCGAAGACATACTTTGGCGATACTACGTCGAGGGAGATTCTGATTTGGCATCAGCAGCAGAAGCAGCAGCATCAGCACTTGTCGCTGTTGGCTCTTCGTCTGCTGCTTTCTCACAATTCTTCTTGCTCTTCTTCGCCTTGCCGGCCCCAGCGGACCCCGCCGGGAGGGGGACATCAGCCAGCACCTTCGCCATCAGATCGTTCACTCTGAGTGGGTAGGAGCGTAAGCAGAGGGAGGGGGAAGGCTCAAGACATGGGAGTGAGATCTCGTTGATGGCTGCGTTATCGCATGGTCTTCATGCCTAACGCGCGCCCAGATCAACATAGGTAATTTCGCTGCTGTTGAGGGCACAGGAAACAAGAACATCGATGCGGCAACTATCACGTCTTGCTTCACCTCCAAAACTTTGTTGGTCGAACCGAATTTTTTTCCACTTTTCACTCACGACTCCTCAGTAAGCGTGATTGGAAGCTTTCCTCGTCGCCCGTAACACCAGAGAAGCTTCCATTCACACAATTCTGAGTGAAAAAATCTGTTTCGACCACCACGCTTGAGGTCATAAAATGAAGCCAAGTCATGTCCGCGATGTCCTCTTGTCCCCAAGACACCAATACAAATAGGTCACACGTCCCTGATCCACAGTCAAGGAGCACCTGGAATCGATGTTCCCCTGCCGTGCCATTCAAGTTGAATGGCCTATTTACCTACCGGTCCGGGGCAAGCAAGCTTACCCAGTGGGATAGGAACTGTACGACACACACTATTCTACATGCAGTTGAGTGGCGGCGCTGTACCTAGGGAGCATGACTCGGCTGTCGTCCATGAGGCCAGCGGCGACGAGCGCGTTGTCAAACACCTGCTCGGCAATCATCTGCGCCAGCAAGGGGTTCGACGTCTTGATCACATGCAGCTTCGTCATCAGGGGGTGCCTGCGCACACGGACGGCCAGAGACGGCGGCGGAAAAGCAGAGTCGCGAAAGAACTCAAAAATTGAGGACAGACAACACGAGCATTTAATTGGGCTTCCTGCGCCCCTCTGACCTGAAATCAACCTCTGAGGAAGAAGGGAAGAACTCATCCTCCAAAAAAAACTGCGTACCAACGAGAGTTTGCATGCTACTACCGAAGCCCTACATGTACAAGAAAGTTCAGTGAAACTACGTCGGCCGCCGTGGGCGGGGCCCAAATGATACACACGCTCGCTCTCTCGGCAGCAGAAGGGGGAGCACCACCAACAGATGTTCGTCCGTGCACCGTCAGCCATTTTAGGGACATTGTTTTCTTTCTTGTGCACTCCAACGCGCCGAGACGACGCCAACCGAAACATCACAATAAGGTCTGAGCACTTAATTACCAGCAGCTTGGCTGTGGTGGTGACAAACAGACAAAGTTTTCTTTCCCCCCCTAGGTGGCGAGGGATGGCTCACTTTGGGTTTATCTCGATCTTCTGCTTGGGCAAGGCCGCGGCCGAGCCCGAGTTCTGCTGCTCAATCATCCGCATCATTCGCCGGAGGGCTGCCGACTCGTGGCTCGAGATGATGGCCGGGCTGTCTTTCAACCTTGTGGTCACCTTCGCCTCGAACACCTAGTATTTTTTGTCCGAAAGAGCAAGTAGCCCAAAGATTAATTGATGCTTATTCTGTGGTTCGGACGGGAGCAAGAAGTGAACTAAAAATTGCACATGGATGATGGATGGCAGCAAGATATAAAGTCAACACAAATAAATGGCGGCGTGGAGCGAAAAGTGGGCTGATATTCACACTGGAGTACGGAGAGGAGCAAGTAGCGATCTGAAGTTCACACACGGGGTTCCGGACGGGAGCAAGATGTTCACCAAAATTTCACACCCCACAGCTGGCCATAATAGATGAAGGACAACGCAACAGATTTGTTCGTCCGCGGAGCAACCTTGCCAACAACGGATTTGTTTTATCAGATAATAAGCAACCACGACATGTATGCCTACCTGCGCGCAAGTGAGAGGAAACCCGTCAGACCTTCAGAAACATCAATCCGATTACCCAAAAGCAAGACGGGGGAGCTTGGTGTGAACTGGAGACGTGCTACGCTAGCATAAGTCCAGTTTCTAGTTCAGCCATATTTCACTTCGTGTGTGTGCAGAGACAAAATCCCGTTTTTTCGGCTCGTCAGTGTGTGTGAGATATTCCATTCTCGTAGACGTATCCAAGAATTGCCGTTTCACGAGCCAATTTTGAACAGCGTGAAAATCACGAACACCTTGGAAGGAGGCGTCAAGAAATCCTGCTACAACCATGCAAGTACCCCCACGGAAGGATTGTTGTCAATGCCACGGCCTGAAAAAGCGACGACGCCGACCACGGGGGGGTCCCAACAGCAGGATGACAAGACAACGCACCCTCTCCGGCAAGGCCGACTCCTTGAGCCATGAGCACAGGTCTTCCGCGTCCTCCGAACTCAGACCCGCAGCCGTCGTGCCGTCGTGCTCCTCATCGCTCTCGTTAGCAGCGTCGTCGTCGCCGCCGAGCTCGATGTCCTCCGCCTCGGCGGACTTGATCGGGCGGCCGGCGTATGTCTTGAGGTTGTTCATGACGAAGTCGTCAATCGTGTTGTACACGAACAGAATCTGAGCCAGCGGCGACGCAGAGGGGACACAGCGGAATGTTCTTTTCCGTGTTCGGCGTCGTGTGTACGGGAAGAAGGGTGCTGGTCCCCGCTCGGAGTTTCAAGACGAATCCCGAGCCCGTCTGCGGGAGGAAGCCGGCAGGTTCGACGGGTTTTTGACGCGGCACGGCTTTGATTTGATCCGCGCATGCTAGATGTGATACTTGGTACGTACACACAAGTCTTTCCGTCAGCATTTACCCCGAGGAGGCACAAGGTGGAAACGGACGTGTCGCCGCATTGTGAATATTTCTACAAGCATCGTGTTGGTCATGTTGCAGGCAACCCGTTCATGTTGCAGGCAGCCCATGCATGACACGGAGCGAGTGAGTTTGTCGGTTGTTGTGCAGAACGGACGCAACACGGACAGGTTACGTCGGGCAACGGCCAACGCTGACCACAGAGAACAATGCCCTGAATATATCCGTCTGCGAATGGTGTTTTCTTCGCATCAGCAAGTACGATACAGCCATGTTCATTGTGGGTCGTATCCTCCTACTCGCCGCTTTTCACCTCTCTCCCGGAATCTCCGAAGGCTTCGTAGTACGGCGACGCCATAGCCAGCTCGCGGTTTGGCGCGCAGAGGTAGTAGATTTCCTTCTGCTCCGGTGTACACCTGAAAAGAGTGTGAATGAACATGTTCCCGGCACACACAGCACGACATTCTAAAGCATTTTTCTGAAAGGGACGAAACAAGCAAGACGAAACCGAGCGGTTCGGAAGCGAGTGGAGAACTTCCGGTAGTTTTGGTAGATGCCACTTAGGGCCTTTCGTTTTTTCAACACAACACAAAGAGTCCAGGCACAGATGAGAGTCCAGGATAAACTTGCAATGCACGCGTAGCTTCAGCGGGGTACTATTTTCAGATGGCACGGCTGTTTGGCGCGAAAGCTTACGGAAGAGTAATGCATACCAGCAACGACAAGGCTCTTGCTAACCTTGAGACATACTCGTCAAGCGAGCAGAGCTCGTCCTTCTCGCCCTTGTTGCTCTCGAAGTACAGCAGCTTGGCGATCTCTCCCTGATGAGTGAAGTCTTGGCACACGCCCTGCGAGTATGGTTGACGGATAAATCAAATAAGAGAACAGTCCTAAATTTGACTTGGGAACGAAAAAAAAAAAAGGGGAACGCGAAGTGGGAAGAAGACGGGCGAGACTCGAGCTTCAGCGCCCACTGTTACCGAGCTGAAGCAGGAAAAACGAAGTGTCTTTCGTAGAACCACAAACCGTTTTACGCTACAGTTACACCGACTCCTGGCGTGTGCACTCTTCCCATACCCGACATCAGAGATACCCTCCCCCCTCGGTGTATGCCATCGGGGTTGGGTTTTCGTTGCTTGGCAACGACGTTGTAAAACAAGCCAATTCACTTCGTGAACTCAGCAACCAGGTTACCGTTTTTTAGCTCTGTTCTTTTTTTGGCGGTAACCATAGTGGTGGTCGAGTAGATCATGTGCGGGGTCGAGAACCATCTCTCCGCGCAAGGGGGATGATCGCACCACGTTGTGTTAATATGGTCAAGCACCCTCGAGGCAGTTACACAGTGCTTATAACTGTCTCAGAAAGTGAAGGCACCAGAAAATATATGCTGTCATCCGAACGCAAGGAAGTAAGCACAAGATGCCGAACACCCTTAGCAGGATGCAGCGCACCCTTCATGCGACTCGCCGAATATCTCACGGCGCTTCGCGCTTGGTGACGTGAGAGTCTGGTCCGGTGAGAACCCGGTGTGCTCCGTCCCGGCTTTGTAGGGATGCGAGGTCAATGGTCTAACGACTACGGCATGCACGACTACGAGTACCCCCCCCCCCCCTCCACAACGCGTACAAACTCTTCCCGCACAGTCCCCCCCGAAACATTGGTAGTCCCCCGAACCCGGCCATTTTCATCCCGACCTCCTTCAAGAACGCCCCGAACTCGGCGAAGAACTGCGTCCGGTACTTCTCCGGCTCCTTCCGCATCATCTCCTGTAGGAACCTGATGATCTTCTTCGTCAGCACGCCGCCGATCTTGCCGAGAAGGGCCGTGTCCTGGGGCTTCTCGCGGCTGAGGCTGAGGGGCAGGTCCTCGCTGTCCACGACACCTTTCACGAACCGGAGCCACTCCGGCAGGAGGTCGGGGCACTTCGCCTCGATCAGAACCTGGGGTTGGGCGAGCCGGGGAATCAGGCGGCGCTCGGTGAAGCAGGGTTTCGCTCATGAGAGAAACGGGAGAGGTGCATGTTGTGCTTGGTTGGCTAGGTAGTAAACGGGACAGGAGAGACTGTACAGGAGAAATAGGGGACGGGGAACAAGCGAGACTATTCGGTCAAGTTAGGCAACACCAAACACGTCTCATCATACAAACACGTATGCATGTATACAGCGCAAAGAGTGAGGCTTCCCCTCGCCGCTGCGCTCCCGTCCCATTCAGCACTCCTTTGCTACGTACCACGTATCGTGCGCAACTTCTGCAAGCTATACACCAAACGATGCCGCCTCTTCCGTAGCCCGCTATGACGTGGCTTGTTCTCTTTTGCGAATTTCGCGAAGCAGATGACTTCGACCAGTAAGCTGGACGTCCGTTCACATAGGCCAACCAATGTGTAATGGCCCTTCCGCATGGGCCCTGCGACCACAACCCCCTCTGCCTGGTCCAGCGAGATTCCCGCGTGCGCCGTCCGGGCTTTGAAAGGGTGCGAGATCAAGGGTCTAGCGACCATGGCATTCACGGCTATGAGTACACCCCCCGCCCCCTCTGCCCCTCAAAACCATGATCAAAGCAAGCCAAACGTGGCGCTGACGCTGGCGCTGGCTTGCCTTCCTGCTGTAGAGCGACACACCCGGCTCAAGGCGAGCCATCCCGAACTTCTCCGTGTGGTAGCTGGGGAAGAAGAAGAGCGCCTTAAGCTCGATCGGAGCGTCCGTCCGGAAGTGTAGCTGTGTGGCATCCAGGGTGCGCGTTCGTTTGTTCGGTGGTGTGATTTTTGCGTGTCCCAGAGGAGGAGCGGGGAAGCAGCGAGTGCGAAGTGGGCGTTCGACAAGGGTTGTGGTAGAAGTTTGGGTAGTTGGGACAATGCGAGCACATGCGGAAGGGCCTATGGGAATAGACCAGAGAAGAACCGCATTGCTTGTACAACGGCACAAGACAAAAAAATGCATCTCTCGATGGCAACAACGGAATGGGGGTTGCATCACAGTACGCAGGTCGATCGTTCAAACTCTTGGCAACATGTTTCCACACAGGAATCGCTTCTTCGAGATTACCGCGGATAGTCGGGCATGTCATGAAGCGTGGCAGGACACGGCGTGCCCCTTCCGTATTCATCAAACTCTGACAACGACAACAAACCAACGCACGTCCTTGCTCTGCGTCACCAGAAACCTTGGCACATCACCAGCCACCAAAAAGAAGGCGTTGCATCTTTCCACGACCGTCTGTCGGACAGTGGCTGAAAACGCGCAACACCTCGACTCGTGTGCACCTTCGCGAGCGGCTCATCGTAGGCCTTGGCGATGAACTTGTAGAACTCATCGTACTTGGCATCCTCCACCTCGGACGGGCTCTTCATCCAGATGGCCTCCACAGTGTTTACCTCCTGCTCCCGGTTTTCACACACACCACCACACACATGCACACACAAAGATAGCTATTTTCCGACTTGAAGCTCACTGAGAATAAAATCTGTTCACCCGTCAGGCGTTTGGTGCGGTCGATGTCACACATACGCAGAGATTTCGTCCGACTTGAGGCTCACTGAGAATGACGCCTAGTAACCGGTTATTCGGTTAGCACGGTCGATGTCGCAGGCGCACGCGCAACCACAGAGGTACCGGCACCAAGCAGGGCAAGTTACATCCATTTGACACGCATGTGCATTTCCACGGCCAGGATTTTCAGCGCAAAACTGCACGTGAGACTTTCAAACACTCTCCATTGAAGCAATGTCAACACCAACGATTCCTGGCGTCGAGTGGCGTCATGAGCTTCGAAAAGAAAATCTACGTTCAAGTTTGGAACTGTGTCGATGCGAAGTTCCAGTGCATGCATCTCGACCCATGTTTCAAACAACACCTCGCCACAACTGATCTGACACGGGGATCGCAACAATAACAGTCGCACCTGGAACAGAATGGATAGAAGTGGGAAATAAAATCCCAAGAGAATGAACAGCGATTGAAAGGGAATAAATAATAGAACAAGGAACGTTGTTCGGAACCCAATGCATCTCAAGACAAGCGAGCGACAACAATGAGCTAAGGAGCTCTAAGAGTGAATGTAGGCGCGCGTGTAGCCCGGGAACGTCACTACCAGACGCATGAGTTGTTCGCACGCCAGAGCAAGCCACTCCCCGCACCCAACCCCCTCTTTCCGAACCCTCATCCCCACGGCATCCCCCTCCAATCACTACCCCCTCTTCCCTTGCACACAGAAGAGAAGGGGGAAAGCAGAGGAGCGACACAGGGAAGATGCCAGAGGACGAGGTTGAAAAAAAGGGGAGGGCACAAGAATTTGCTAGTCATGTTTATCTTGGAGGCACGGAGAGACTATGCTACAACCGAGAGTGTGTTCGTCAAAGCGAGCTGCCACCAACTAGCTCTCTCTGCGAGAGAGCTCGGAGGGCCTTGCGTCTGCCCGCGACAAAAGCACACTCGGCCTGCAGTAATCCTCCCGCACAAAAGCGGGGCCGCAATGCAGTCGGCGCCCCGCTGGAGCCGGGTCCTCCTGAGTGTTACTTATTGTTCACCTCCCACCTCCCAACCACGGGGCTCAACGAAACATTCTTACTGCAAAAGCCGAACGAGAGCAAGTAGAAAATATGCAATACAGCAGTAGCGCTGAAGTTATGCGAATAGAACGACAGCAAGAGCGGACAACGCTCTGCTGACGACAACAAACACCACCCCACGCACTAGCAGACTCTCAAATCAGACTGAAACCAACGTAGTCATATCACACCTCGCCGTTGAGCTTGATAGGCACGCCCACGAAGTTGGAGTACTTTTGCACGACCTCCTCCACCCTCGCCTGCTCGCGACCAGAGGCACAAAAAAAAAGAACAAAGACTTGAATGGTGATCGAAAATAGAATAAATTTGGCCAGAATTCAAGCAATACAGCGATTGTAAAAACTGTTGTTCACGAATGAATACATGTACTGGGAAACGGAGGCCGTCAAGAGAACAACCTGTAACAACTTGTCAAGTCGAACTAAAAAAAATAGCTGAAAAAAAAGCGTCAAACACAAGAGCTAGCTAGGTGCCATGCTCTATACCACGATATCGATGTAAGCGTGTGAAAACGAAGCAGAACCAGTTTTCCAACCTCAAATAATGTGGAACGTTTCATTAACCGGCTATTCGGTTTGTTCCACTCCACACAATGTCGGGGAGTGCACGGAATGCCTGCCTCCATCAAGTACGCTGCATCGCGATCCAACACGATCCCGTAAATGTGCTAGCGATGGCACCGCTCCTACACTGACTTTCGCAGCTCGATTTCTCCCCTGCCCAACGCCCAAAAAAAATAGCCCGGAATTGCTACGACCCCCCCCCCACCTACCTGAGTTGCGTACTCCTCGCAGCCGTCCCTCAGCTTCACCACGATCTTGCAGCCCCGGGGCATCTCCTCCTCCCCCTCCGCGACGGCCTCGGCCTCCTTCACCACGAACTCCCCCGATCCGTCGCTGGTCCACACGCTCCTGCTGCCGTCGCGGGCCGACCGCGTGTGGACGGTCACCGTGTCCCCTACCATGAACGCCGAGTAGAAACCAACTCCGAACTGGCCGATGATGCCCTCTAGGGCTCCGGCAGCGGAATCCCCGTCCTTGCCGTCCCCCGCCGCGTCGTTCAGCTCCTTGAGGAACGACTTGGAGCCCGAGCGGGCGATGGTGCCGAGATTGAGCTTCAGCTCGTCGCGGGTCATCCCGATGCCCTTTGAGTTGAGGGGGAGGTCGAGCAAATAAACGCGCAGAGAGGGAGACAGAGAAGAGAGAGATAAGAAGATAAACGTTGTTTTACCACCGTTGAGTCTCACTGTAGTTACAAACAGGCTCGGGCCGGGGATTGTGGACTGCTGGGTAATGGACAGGCGGGAAGATCTGCGCTTCGTCCGGTTTCGACGCGGATGGAAAGCGGAACCGGACATGCTACCATGGAGTGGTGCATGCAATGCGTACTATGTTTTTCTGTCTCGGTTGCCACGAACGGCCATACGACAGCTGGCATGCAAACAAACGGGCCACCACTACTGTCTCCCACGATACGGCGACCTACCTCAGAACATTAACCTCTCACTGCTGTCTCTCTTTCCCTATCTTATCGGCCTGCATGTTTTCTCTCAGTCTTTCTGCCTGCCTGTCTGTCTATACATCGCTGCCTAACCTTTCCCGTCCCAACCTCCCCCCCTACCGTATCCTGGATGGTAATCGTCTTCTCCTTCTCGTCAGTGGTGATGATGATCTCCGACGGCGCTGAGCCCTCCTCGATCGCTTCGCCGACCACCTGCAGGTGCCTCAGCTTCTCCATCGCGTCCGACGCGTTCGATATCAGCTCGCGGAGGAACACCTCCTTGTCGGTGTAGATGGAGTGGGTCACGATGTCCAGGAGCTGCCTCGTCTCCGCCTGGAACTCGAGTTTCTTCGAGGTCGTTCCCAAGAAGGGCGCGATAGAGACAATAGGAAAGTGGCGAACAATTAGCTGGACATTAGTTGCAACAGACAGTTTTGCGCGACCTTCACCGAAAAAAACCTTGCTACATAGTTCTGTAGTGGTGCCTGCGACGCCAGCGCCAACAATGACGATATAGCACGCCCTCGAGTAGTATGAATATTTCTTTGTCGTGTTCAGAGGGTGAGGAGGGAAAAAGAGATAGAACCCGAACTTACGAATGATGCGGGCAGAGTGATAGAGACAGAGACAGAGAGAGAAGCAGGCAGGCGGGCATAGGGAAAAGAAAACCGAGAGAAAATGGCCAGACCGGGGAAAAGGCACCGCTGCGAAGTTGACGGCACAGCTCCCACGCTGTCCAACTCCGGTCTAAGAGATGTTGCACTTCCATCCTCGATGTAGTATGCTCGTTCCTAGAACATTTCAATGCGTTGGTGGCACCCTGGATAGAACCTGTACGAGCCACGTAAAACCCGTGCGACAGCTACTAATAATTGGTGTCGGGTTCCACTGGTCTTGTTGTGGGTGTGGCAAGGGACAGCCAACACGCAAAACACCCCGCCTTTGCCGCCAAATCCTGCAAACTCGGTGAAGAGGCGGAAGCGTGGACTGCTTTCGAGAGGGACACCGCCCCACTCGAGCAGGCGACGTAAGAAGCTCATCGAGTCGTTCAGTGTACGCTGCCTTCCCGCGGGGAGAAACGCTGTTGCCGTTGTGCAGTTGAAGTGCAGCGGTGTTCTCAGCAAGTGTTCTTGCAGCACCGTTCGTCGGCATCGAGGCGGTTCGACTGGTGCGCCTACACGTGTATGCACGGCCGTACAGAGCCCAGCAGCTTGCACTCAGAGCGTGCTGCCATACGGGTGGGAATGTGCCAGTGTGGCGAACCACAAGGATGTATCTACGTTCGATGTACTGCAGAGGTGCTGATAACATGCCTCGCAGAGCCACCTGCGGCTCCCTGCCCTTCGACCGGACCGCACAGCAGTCGACACCACTGGTTCCGCTGGAGAACAACTCTTGCAATTTGCGCATGTTCTACCCAGATCAATTGAGACGACCACCACCGCCAGAACACGCCCACAATCACCAACGCAGCAGCGTCATCCGCACGCCACGTGCGTCGTGCCAGCGCAACATACCTCCTCTTCCTGCGCAGAAGACGCCGACAGCCCTCTCACACCCCAGCACGTGGGCATCACAGGGCTTCTCCGCTGGCGCCGCAGAGACTCCTCTCCCCTCGAGCCCAGGGTTGCATCCGGTGGTGCAGCAGCAGCATCGCTCTTCGCCGAAGCTCGGTAGGCGATCCTCCTGGCCGTGTCTCGTGCGCACTGCGGAGGGTGTGGTCGTGTGGTTGAGCTTGACGCTGCTCGGCGAAGAGGCCCCGACACCGCACGCAGCATCATCATTGAGTTTTGGTTTGCTTTCGACGGCCGTTCCTCCCTTTGACTACTAGAGAAAGTAGGAGCTGCCTCTTTTACTCAGGCAGCCTCTCCTCTCTTCAAGAAACCCCAGTGACAGCGCCGATATGCTCACTCGTCGACTATCTATCGTCGTCGCACATTGCACAGGTACCACGTCCAACCACGGCAGGGAGACGGGGGGATCGCAGACTGCAAGGAGATGTAGTACTTGCCTACGGGGTGAAGGAATTGGGCGCGACTATTTGCAATCCATGGATTGAAAAAAGAGAACCACAGTCCAAGCATCCACACGGGTCGAAACCCCGGGAAACCGCCCGGAGCGTCCCCGAAGAGGTACTCCCCCCTCTCTGTCAAATTATCTCGAGCCTGGATCTAACGCCCGTAGTCTTCGAAGCAGAGCTCTAGTCTTCAGCAACAGCCCCAACAGGACATACTGACATACTGGCACATACCACGCCAAGGCCACCCTCCACACCCGGGGTGCCCAGGAGACGCTAGGCCTCAGAGGAGCAAGAGGACACGACGACACACAACGCCCCGTACTACGTGCGTGCTCGTCTCTCTCTCTCTCTCTCTCTCTCTGTGCCTACCCGCATGTGGTGCTGCCTGGTGCTGTTCGTGTGGTGCTGCTGCTACTGTTGTTGTTCTGTGCTGCTGCTGCAGGCCCGCTGCTGCAAGCAATTGTTGCTGTAGATTTTGCCCGTAGATTTTGTGAACTATTGTATGTATAGACTAGTCTACATACAGCAGTATTTTGTTAGATATCACCAGCTGCACAAAATCTGTTTTGTAGGCATCGTTTAGTTCGCACACCGCAGGCCAGCTCAACAAACTCGAGACAAGCTCACAAGATTTTCTTCGCAGAGCACACTGGTCGACAGGCAAAGATAGACGCAGAAACAAAAACCGTCGAAGAGCGATTCAATGATAGACTGACCCCCGCAAAAAAATGAAAGAACCTGGATGTACATGACGCTTTATTTAGTCTATACAACAAGGTAAATATGTTGTCCCGCGCCGCACATGCCCCTATAATACATCACACACAAAAAATGATCAAATTGGGAGATCCAGCATACCACGATATCCTGGCTTCGGCTGGGCTTGAAATAACCCTTTTGCTGTCCTCCGCTCTTTGCATCAGTGGCTTCCTAGGTTCGAGCGAGGGCATGTGTGGAGATTTGGCAGTGTATGCATTGCTATTTTGTTTGAGTCATCTAGCTGCTGACACGATGACTGTTGGATCTTGGGTGTGTACGATTATCAAATTGAGAGATGCAGCATACCACGATATCCTGGCTTCGGCTCGGCTTGAATTGCATCAGTGGATTCCTAGGTTCGAGCGAGGGCATTTGTGTAGCTGAGATGTGTGTCTTCGTGAAAGAACATGTAGAGAGAGAGAGTCGTTTTGGCATTCGCATCAAGCGCATTGCGCATTTTTCGAATTTTGGCCCCCTTCCAGGCAGGGACCTTGATTTTCACCCGCTGGCACTGACGTCTTTTAATTGGTCAGCCGGTTAGCGCGGTCGATGCTAATAATAAAAACACACAAAAAATAATTTGATGAAGAAAATATCTACACACCCCGAGACGCGCTCCGCAACCACACAAGGGTGCTATAATAGAACACCGAACAAACCGAGTTCCCCTCAATCTTCCGTCTAAAACTTACCAACATAACATATAGAAACACAAGATGGCTACCAAACTGCCTTGTTGAGCCTGTTACCCACAGGGGAGTTACCGTTGTATGCTGTCTGGGAAACCGTAGACATACAGCAGGTAGCCTTTCGCTCACGCTATGGATTCATTGCTAATCTATCTTAGACTTATTTCTATAGATGGAGATGGATTTTTCGCGTGATAATAAGAAAATAAAAAAAAGAAAGACAGCACACAGGGGAAAGTAATTTTGTAGGAAAAAAAAACCCAAAAAATAAGAAATATAAATAAATGCTCTCCGCGCAACGGCTACGTATACCGCATACACCACCACACCCACACTCCTCGCACACCATAACACCACCACCGGGCTGCTTGAAATGATGACTCGATCCGACGCCTTCTTAGCCACTGCCGTCGTCCTGATGGCGGCGGCGGGCTCCTGCCCGTCGACCTTCGCCTCAGCGCTGGAGCTCATCGCAGCGAACTGCGACGACCTCAGCGCCCTGCCCACAACGCTGACCGAAGACACAAATTTGCTCCTCGATGTGCCTTCCATTACGTACGGTAACCCCGACTTGAACTGGATCTCCTGCGACACGGTGAAGTAATTCGTTGCTGCTACAGTAGTATCTACAATAATAGTGCGATCTATCTGTTGATGTGCGGGACCCGTATATGACTTCATTAGATGAGCCTAAGGTGTGGTGGTGTAGGTGTAGGTGTCTCGTTCTGCTGGTACTGGCAGCGCCGAACTTTCTTGAGCGAGGAATATGCATTAGGTTTTATAATTATGTAGTCTAGTCTACAGACTTACATGTTCGGCCGTTACCTAGTTTATTTTTCCCCTCGTTACGGAAAATACGGTACTGTAGACTACAAGCAGTTACATCAGCTCTCCCAACGACTTCAGTGGAGCTGCGAGCTAGCACGGTGAACTTGACATTCCGGCAAATGGTCATCGGAAGTAGTACCACGTCTGCTGTACATCCATGCAGCCCTTTCTTTTCGAAATCCCAAACTTTTCCCTTCTTTCCAACGCACTTTTCAAATGATGGGTTGATTGGTAAATAATGCGAACCTGGTCTCTGCAAAAACTCAAAGCAGGCTGGGTCCATCTGTCTGTGTAGTAGGGCGGGAAACAAACGTAGGGCAGATGGCCGGCACACACACGGGGGATGAATCTCTGTTGGCACAGATGATAGCGTACTTGATGAGGGTGGGTGCACGCCCAATGTTAGACAGACAGGTGAATCTGCCTGGCACATACATACATGAAGACTACCTACTAGATCGGGAGGTGGAATAGTTTTTTTATGAAAAACGTACCTGCAGTAGGCTCGTGCGTTGCTACCATTAGCCCGTTAACTACACAGCAGTATGACAATATATTGATTGAGGTGTGGGGGGCGCCAAACAATGTGATGGACTCCGAAAAAAAAATGTCTTGGAAAAAAAGACACCTCCACACGGACTCGAATCCATGATTTCGAGAGTCAGGGTGGCCATCACCGAGTTCACGAAGTGAATTGGCTTTTTTGCAACGTCGTTGCCAAGCGACGAAAACCCAATCCCGATGGCAAACACCGAGGAGGGGGCTTGTTTTACAACTTCGTTGCCAAGCGACGAAAACCCAATCCCGATGGCAAACACCGAGGAGGGGGCTTGTTTTACAACTTCGTTGCCAAGCGACGAAAACCCAATCCCGATGGCAAACACCGAGGAGGGGGCTTGTTTTACAACTTCGTTGCCAAGCGACGAAAACCCAACCCCGATGGCAATCACCGGGGGGGAGGGAGGGGTGTGGTATATGAAAAAATAGGGCTAAATTTAGCAGCCAAAAATACGGAAAGTCTCGGCTGTTGTGCTTCGCTTGTTGGTTCGAGCTTTGATCGAGAAATCTCAAAAGCGTTCAAGCGTGTGATGGGTAACCAGGCTAGCACGGGAGGCACTGGTCGCACACCAGGCTTTCGCGCACAAAAGTGTAGAGAGGCGTACAGCAGTACATGTCGCACCGATGGTGGTGCGTAGCAGCGTCTGTGTGTTGTTGGTGTCATGTGCCCCTCTCCGCGGAAAGAAAGAGAGAGAGGCCGCTGCTGCTGCTGCTGCTGCTGAAATGTTGATCTCTCGTCTCGCTTCCTCCGCCGATAGCTAACAGCAGCAGTGTATAGCACACCCTTCTCCCGCCGTCTCGCTGTGATCTGCGTCTCCCTCTCCCTGTTTGTCCATGTCTGGCTCTGTGTGTGTGGTGTGTGGTGTGCGAGGCTATACGTCTTGGTTCAAAATCATACGAACGACGCCTCCTCTCGGTGTTGCAAGCGGCCAGAAACTTCCCTGCTTCAAGTTCGGTACCGACGCTGCACTATCTCGACGCACCGAGCACGGATTGAAAAGGTAGCAGTTGGGGCAGCTCGGGCAAAATATTACTTGTTGTAAACACGTCTTAGATTGCAATTTGGTGCCGAGATGGTGAAATGGGCTAGAATCTGCTGGGTACTATATATATCGAGGATGGTCACAGACAGACAAACGGACTTACTTGAGCCCGTTTTGCCCCCCCCCTGGTGTTTGCCATCGGGGTAGGGTTTTCGTCGCATGGCAACGACGTTGTAAATCAAGCCGCCCCCCCCGGTGTTTGCCATCGGGGTTGGGTTTTCGTCGCTTGGCAACGACGTTGTAAAACAAGCCAA